TTTAAAAGATTTAGATGCTGACAAGCAAAAAAATATTCCGACCGGAGGAAGTTGACATATTTTGCTGAAAGATGAAACCTATTCAACCGAACAATTAAAAGATTACGGAATTAATATTGACCCTGCTAAAACTACTCTTTATAAAACCGGTTCAGAAAAACAAACCCTAGCAGTCGGCTCCGGTCTGAATGGCTGACTAAATTTGGCCCATAGTTTTACTTACTTAGATGACAATAAAACCAAACTCCAAGCCGCCTTCACCAATTCCCCCACCCAACAACTACTATCAGATTTAAAAACCTGAACTACTGATAACGGAATGGTAACGGATGGCACCAACTGAACTCTCCCAGAAAGTCTAACCAGTATCCAAGAAGCAAAAGACCAACTAGAAATGGAAAAACTGGGAGCCGCAGTAAAACTAGTAGAACTTAAAAAGACTATCGATGAAAAAACCAAAGAAAGAGACACTAAACAAGTTGAAATCCAAGTTAAGGAAACCCAAATTGACACCCTGATTAGGGAAATTTTGACTAAGAAGCGAGAAAAGTTGAATTCTTATAATATAAGCAAAGGCTTCGCTAAAACCACCGAGGATAATCGTCGAGAATGATTAGAACTCTTAGAAATTAGCCAATTGCTTTTAGAAATCAGATATTTAGAAAATGATGGGGATGCTACCACAATAAGCACAGTAGACACTGAAAACACCGCTCTAACTGCCGTTGAGGACATCACGACTAAACTTTATTCTTGTGATGGTGATTGTAAATTAGTAGAACGCTTTTATAGTTTTGCTTTTGTTGGCGGTGATAGTAAATTGGATGCTTCTCAGGCCATTACCCGCATTAAGGCAGGTAAATATAAAGATAAAGATGGTAAAGAACACGATATCTCTTTTTACGGAGGGTTAGCCCAGTTTAAAATTCATTTTGAAAATAAAGAAAAGTTGGTAAAATTAACTGAGTGAGAAATCCAATCCCTACAAGCCATTAACAAAACCCTCAATGGTGAAAACACAGAGGAAAATTTAACCGATTGACAATCAACTTTAAAATCCTTAGACCCTGCTTTGGATGACACAATAATTACCGATGCTTGAAAAACCAAATGAGGGGCAGTAAAGAAACACAGCAAACTTACCCAAGTAGAAACTTTGATTAAAAAAATCCTAGGCCCAGACCA